GATATGAAACAATTTAAAATTTGTGCTTATAAAATAATATTTTTCTTAGAGATTAAATACACAACATACCCTAGACAGAGCTACGCCCTAATAAGTTAGGTGGTCTGTGCTAACCTGGAGGTACGGAGTTGCCTAACAAGAAGGAGAAGATTTAATATGAATGTGTAAGACCCTTGGTGAGCCTGAGTTTATTTCTTAAAATTATTTATCTTCCTAGGTTGGCATAAATATTTTATTTAATAAGTAAAAACATTTGTCCTTAAAGAGCTTAATCGCATCAAGGCTAAAATAAAAATGGCATGCAAGTAAGAAATCTAAAAAGATTACAAAACTCCTACTGTGTAGAAATAAACATAACAATAAAATCATGTAATCAAAATAAATCAAGTAAATATAAAGTCCGTGTGGCAAATTCAACTTAATTACAATCTAGGGTACGTATGTAAAAATTAAAAGTGGTTGGGTAACACTAACAACAACCCGTATTCTAATCTTAGGAATGACGCAAGCAATTTTAAAATGTGACATTTTTCTTGAAGTCTTCAATTCTTCATCCTCCCCCCTTCTACAAGCTCCTATGATTCGTCTAGTCCAAGTTTCCAAATGGAAAAAACTCCTCCTGAAAGGGGTGTTTCTTCCCACTTTGGATTTTTAAATTATCCTAATTTTAACTTCTAAATGAAAGGAACTCTCACCTAAGGGATGTTTCTTTTCTCTTTAGACTTCATATTAGATTGGTAATATTTCATTTAAAATTTAACTTTCACAACACTATTAATTTTAAATTGCATGTAAGAAATAAAAAAAGACTCTAAAATAACCTATATGGTTATCATATGTAGTTATAATAAAAATCATTAAAATCATCCCAAATAGTTATATTATCAAATTACTCCAATTGGAGCACATGCAATTACACTTGGTCGTGCTCTTTTAATTTTAAGGGGCTTAGTAATTTTAGCACATGTAGAAAATTCGTCATTTAAATTTTAATTTAGCCTCCTTGATTTATAGCTCAGCATAAGCATGACCACCTACAAAAAATTATGTGAACATCCAGATAGTTCATGATCTAAGAGTAATCCATCGCCCATCATATCAATTCATAAATAATTTGATAAAATTAACACATCACAAAATATCACATCAATCACATCCTTTTGTTTGTGCCTCATTGTCTGTAAATAATTTAGATTACTGTTGTAGTTCAAAATCAAATGCCGCCATGAATTAATCATCTGATTGCCATAGAGTTTTCTGAATATTAGCATTAATATTTTATTGAGTTTATGTTTGTATGCATAAGCATATTATATATTCAATGTGTTGTATCATGATTTTAATCTTTGTTTATATATATATATATATATATATGTTCTCCACATTGCCGGACTTCCACCCGAATGTCCACCATTGTTGGAGTTCTTCCAGACCACCGTTATACTTCCACCAGTCTTCGATTGTTGCCGTACTTCCACCCATTTTCAGACCCCCGTCAGATTTCTACCCTACCAGCAGATGTTGTTAGACTTACATCAGGTCAACAACTAATGCCGGACTTACATTGAGTCATTAACTATGGTCCTTCTGACCATCATCATCAGACTACGATCCTTTTGACCACTGCCACCTAACTACGTTCTTTTTAACCTTTGTTGCCTGACTACTATCTTTCAGATCATCATTATCCAACTATGATCCTTCCAAACTTCATTGCTTGCCGGCTATGGTCATGCCGACCAAAAAAATATATCTACACTAATTGTTTCAACTCCCACCATATAATGCATTATATATGATGTATATTTGCAACATCAAGCCAAGGCCTTTCTTCTAAGTCATGGCCTCATTTGTAATCAATTGAAAACTATATTGGATTCATTCAAACTGGGCCAGGCCTCTTGGTTTTTCCCATTTTTAGGGGTTTCCAAGTAAAAATATGGTGTCTCTTATAAATACTATAACCATATTCTCTTATCAGAATTTGAACTGGATCTTCGTACAAAGTTATGATGCTAAATTATGTCACGCTCTACCATCATAAATTTTTTAGGATACAACAGTTTGGTGCTGTCTTTGGGAATTAATTCCTAGCTGGGGGAAAAATATATAATATTTTCCAACGCCCCTCAAGTATCAACAAATGATATATTAATTTTGTGGAAACAGATTTGGCTAGGGTACAAATATTGGCTGCAACTTCTAAGGTGACTATAGCCAATAAAATATCTTCCAGTATTTCAACATCTAAGATAATGTCATTGGCTACCATTTTTTTATAAAGCCCCCAATAAGTGCAATGATGCTTTAAGAAAAATTTAAGCTATATATAGTCCCAGACTAGACTTCTACTCTTTCGGAAAGGTTTTAATCTCAAACTCAAAATAGAAAAAATGGTTTAGAGATAAACCAATCTTCAACTTTTATTCGGGATACATGTGGCATTCGCCCCCTTCCAATTAAGATATAATCAATGTTAGGGGGATTCAATTCAATTTCTTCCATACATGTTAACTTCATTGAGTAACACTTTGTTAAATAATCTTGGATATGTCTTATATTATTAGTGGATTCCCTCAACTTCTTTTATATAGGTTAATGTCATCGAATAACACTTTGACAAATAATCTCAAATATGTTATACATCCTAGCTAAATTCTCTCAATCTCCTACACACAGATTAACTTCTAGAGCAATGCTCTAACTGTTGCAAATCTATTTTCATGACTTATGTTTTGATGATTGACAAACACTATTGATTCTCTTGGACTTCCTGTTACTTCTAAATTTTCAGGAATCAAAGATCGGACGAACAAATGAAGCCAGTTCAAGATTGCATAGGTTAGGGTTGAGTCAGTATTTACTTTGCTTTTTCTCTTCTTGAGTCTATTTGTAATGTTCAAAGAGACAGATGTTAAGTAACCCTACACACACACACACTTGAGAGACTTAGAATATTTGTTTTTACTCACATTGGCCAGGATGATATTTGTATCAGCCTGGACGATCGAGTTTAAAATAGAGATTTTATTCAGGATTCTTAATTAAGACAGCCATCATTAACAGATCGTCCTGGATGATACTTGTATCAGCCAGGATGATAAGCTCAAAACAGAAAGAAATAGCTGCCATAAATAATTAAGGTATTATGTAATTTTTGGTAATCGGCGAGGACGATCTTGGATCAGCCTGGACGATATTCACAATTATGCCTTAATTAATCAGACAAATTAAGGAAGTAATTAAAGATGATTGATACGATCACATCGTCCTGGACAATCATAGGATCGGCCAAGATGATCTATTAAAAAATCTTAGTTACTTCTAGATGATCGGGATTGGACAGCTTGAATTCAGGGCGATGCTTTGGACGATTTTCCTCTGATTTGAACTGATCGGCCTGGACGATCGTGAGGTCGGCCTGGACGATCATGCCAATTTTCAATCGTCCAGTTTGCATTCAGGGCGATGCTCTGACAGATCTTCTGAGATTTGTACTGATCGGCCAGGACGATTTCCTTATCGTCCTGGACGATATAGTCGGCAACTTGCAATTAATGAGCTCCTTTGAAGCTCTTCTATTTAAGAGCGAGAGAGAGAGAGAGAGAGAGAGAG